GTTAACCACCTTATCCTTCCTACTGGGAGACACATAAGTCTCCTTTTCAACTTCTTTATCTTTCTCTTCCTCACAGTCTAACATGATTTCAGCAGAATCTTCTATCTCAGTCATCCTCATCTGTTCTGGGTGTTGTTCATCAGTATTGTCTTTTAAAGTACTTTCTTCCCAAACCCCCCAGTCTGATTTCTGTTTTTGATAGAAATTTTTTGCATTAGCCAATAATCTAGCAGCAGGAGAACTCCATGGATTTTCTCTCCAATCTTGTTTAACATTCCATGAATTAGATTCAGAGTCCTTCAAAGAAGAAGATCCAGATCCACTACCTCTTCTACCTTTAAACCACTTATCCTGATAAGAACTTTGATTGTTATCCTCCAATTGATCCACTTTCTGTTTTTTCTTTTTTTCTCCTTCATCAATTTCCCCCATTATAGACATGATAGTGACCTCTATGTTGTACTGATTTTTTCCAACAAAAACTTTTAAAATTTTAGGTATATCAATATACTCTAAACAACTGACCAGCATCACAGCATCTACAAATTCAGTACAGGCATTGGTAAGAGAATCCAGTTCAACCAGATCAGCAAAAGGTTTAACCATCTGAGCAAAAGATTCTTTACTCCATAAGTGAGGAGGAACATTTTTCATTTTAATCCACACATAAGATTTCCTTTTTTCAATCACATTTCCTTCCCAGGCACTCCATCTTCTAAGTTTTATCTTACAAGATCTTAGAGTTATTATCCCCATTCTTATCAATTCATCCATCTATTTCCACGGTTGTATTTTAACCAACACTTCTCCATTGGTAAAAAGCCTCACATCCCAATGCTTATTCATAGGAAAATAAGCTCTCAAATCTAACTCCAATCTTTCAAGAGATATATTACCACCTTCAACAAAAGAAACTATAGCAAAGTTTCGAAACTTCTGAAAACCAGAATTTATTTCTCCTTCAAAATTTAAGACGGTTTTTAACGATATTAGTAGAAGGATGTTTTTAATCAACTAAATGCATAGAACTACAGAAGAGAATTTGATTCTAGCTATCGATCTTAGAGGGATTGTTCAAAAAAAAAATTCAAATGAAGCTAAGGCTGTAATCACAACTCTAGAAGATAAAAAAAAGAAAAAATATTAATAAAGGTATTTTCTCCAAAGAAAATATCAAGGAAGTCAATAATGCAAACTTGAGGGGGTTGTTGATCAAGTAATAAATAAAGAGAGCTTTTTTATATTATTGTAGAATGATTAAAATGGTAAATATGACAAAATTCTATTTATAAGGGGTTATTTAAGACAACTTAATAGATATAGGGGTATAAATTAGAAGTATGAAGATTCGGGGGGGTCTAACATACAAGTAAGAAAAGATTTAGGGCCTAATATGACAAAAGCCCTATATTAGTATACCTTTTTACCTCCGTCCATGAGGATGGAATCGCATAAAATAAAGTAGAGCTCTTTCAGCGAGGGGTAGATCACTGGATGGACGGCTCTGGACACGATGTCGGCGTGATCGGACGGCAGGAAATGCTTCCAGACGGCGTATGAGTCGGCGGCGGAGCGGAACGCCGGCGAGACTGCTGCGACCTGCACGCGTCGCGAGTGAGGTCCGGACAGCACGTGCAAGAGGCACTCCTCCGGCAGCCGCTGGATCCAACAAAATTTTTCCATTTTTGATTCTGATGTTTTAATTTTGAAGAATTTTTCAAAACAGACCCATTTCAATTTTTTTTTTCTTAAAAACCGAACCCCGTTTTTTTTTTATTTATCAAAACCGACCCGATTTTGTAATTAGCAGCTTAATCACTATCCTAAACAGTCGGGTTGGCACCGCCGACTATTTAGGAAGGTGTTAAACCCTAATTAGAAGCCTTAAACCCTAAAAATTAAGGTCCTAAATAGTCGGGGTTGCCAACCCCGACTGTTTAGGAAGGTGATTAAGCTGTTAATTACAAAATCGGGTCGGTTTTGATAAATAAAAAAAAAACGGGTCGGTTTTAAGAAAAAAAATTTGGAGTGGGTCTGTTTTGAAAAATTCTTCTTTAATTTTCTCTGCTACTCTCCGCTATATAAATAATAAATCTTTTCTGCGTACGGGCGAAGGTTTTGAGGGAGAGGACAAGGAGAAGACCAAAGTTCCGTTGACTTCTTTTTTTTTAATAATAAAAGACCCGGACAAGGACCAACCGATTATGAAGTCGAAAATCCTTCTATATGTTTAGGGCCTGTTCGTTTATTTCCTAAAAACCAAGAAATGGAAATGGAAAAGGTGGAAATCTCAAAATAATCCATTTCTTCCATTTCCATCCCTAAAACTCACCCACAACATCCAATAAAATATTATTTTCATCCAACAACTCATCCACATCATCTAATAAAATATTATTTTCATCTAACCACTCATCCACCACATCTAATAAAATATTATTTTCATCTAACAACTCATCCATCACATCTAATAAAATATTATTTTCATCCAAACATCACTCAACTCATCTCTTTTCATCATTTCAAATCACTCACATCATCGAATAAAATATTATAACAATTCACCTCATCTCATTAACATTTCATTTCTTAGTTTTCATCCCAAAAAGTTGTGAAAACACTTTTCTTAATCTTTCTTCACATCACCAATAATACAATGACAACTCATCTCATCTCATTTCATTTCTTATTTTTAAGAATGAACCAAACAAAAGAAAACAACAAAACTACAGGAAATAGGTTTCTTATAATTCATTTCCTTATTTTTTTCGCCAACCGAACAACAACAAAACTATTTTTCTTAAAAAATCACTCACATCATCCAATAATAATGTGACAACTCATCTCATCTCATCTCCATTTCTTTGATTTCCTTTTTTTTAGCCAACCAAACAATTCAAAAACTCATTTTTCTTAGAAATAGTTTTCTATTTCTTTGATTTCCCATTTTTTTAAGGCAAACGAACAGGCCCTTATTGGAGATGGAAAGCTTCGAATCTATAGATCATTAGATCTCCAACGAAACACAAGCTTCAAAGGGTCTTCTGCAAGTAATATCAATGTTCTAAAATGGCTCCGCCTCTTATCAAAAGATAAAATAAAAAGGCTCCGCCTAGATTAAGGCGATACATACGCCGTCTACCTAAGTCTCATGAGTGCCTAGGAGAGCGGAGATCGCATATGCAGACTGCACGGTTTAGATCTTGATCGTTTTCCGTTGTCGTTGCCTCCGCGTCCCGTGGCCGCCTCCAGCGACTACAAACACCTCCTCTAGTTCCTCCAACATTTAGCAAAAACACTTTCATCGCCACTTAAATAAAAAAAGAAATCCTCATACGTCCAATGTCTAGGGGCTAGTTTCGCACGTAGAGGTGTCTAGATCTTTCAATAACATTGTTTGTAATTAAAAAATAAAAAATAGTAATACCTAGGTCCCACCTAGGCGCCTAGGTGTTAGGTCTGATGCCTAGGTCGCCTAGCTCTACTTTGTAGCCTTCGGTTGATTTAAGGTCACATCAAAATGACAACCCCGCTATTTGGCTCGCAAAAGCCAGCACACAACCAGCGCGCAAGAGAGATGAAATGACACATTGTTTCGTGGATTGGTAAATTTGTTGAATCACCCTCCAATTTGTTGAATCACCCTCCGACTAAGGAGCATCGGAGGACGGCAAGAAACTTGGCATCCGATGAGTCTCTAACGGTCAGAATCATCCTTCTCATCAACTGCACAGGATAAAAGTTGAGACAGCTGATGGCAGACACGTGCACAGAAGAGTATTCTCAGACAGTAAATAAAAGCCGATTTGCAAGCTACTGACGTAGCAAATTTCTCTAGGCTAAAGTTGCAAACACTTTCTCAATCTGGACCACACTTAAGTTCTGAAAAATAGCAGTTCAACAAAACTGCCTCCTGATGAAATTTCATTCTTATCAGTGTGCCTGCAAATGTTTTATGGATTTACACAACTAAAATTTAAATGTTGGTGATAAACATTTCCAAAGAAAAGTATTGCAAAAGAATACTTCTGAATGTTACATATCATAGACATCTAATTAAGGTATGCTGCAAATGAGATTATACAACAGTCTGTAAAACTCACACCTAAATGTTCCCAAACCCAAAAGAAAAGAGCCCAAAATCTCTTATACCGGATCTCAATGAGCCTGTAAAATTTATCAGATACAATAATGTTTGTCCGTAACCAGAATTAAATTTATAGAATCTGGTAAAATATATCAAGTTTACTAAGAAATGACTGCATCTGCTCTATTCTTAAAATCCATATACCCGTACAAATCTCTGTTATAGCTTCATTTCTTTGGTCTCACTTCTATTCCAAGAACAGTAAGCCCACTCTTCCAATGCCGTCCTTTAACTTCCAATAAGCACATATCGACCTCTCCGTCATCGCCACCATCATTAAAGAACTCGCCCATCTCCATCTCCATCCACCCATCATTTCTAACACCCGGAATCCTATTCTCCTCCAAATCCTCACAAATTTCTTGCCTGGGTACACCCACAATCCCTTGAAAGAAACGATAGAACAGTCCATGGCCTCCTATAGATTGCTCACTGTCAGCAGGCTGTAACCGGACTTTGTGTTTAGATTCATGGGTTCCGAGCTTGACAGAGGTCTCTTGGGCGGGAACTTGGAGGCCGTGTGATGCTGCATCTAGCTTATAGATGAGATATGCAGCATAGTTTGTTTTTGGGGAGAGAATTCGGGTTTGTATTTTGCCGTGGATTTCTAGCCAGCAGACATTTAGGAGATGAGCCACCTCGGAGAACCTATCAACGCGACTTAGATTCACCAGAAATATCTCTTGTTAGAAGATTTTGCAGTTTGGTATCAAAGAGGTTTGCAACGTGTATCAGAAGTAACCAAATTTTGACAGAATGCATAAGCTTTAACGAGATAAAAAAGATTAAAATGGCAAAATATCTTTGAAGAGTATGCAGAAATCAAGAGAAGGACTTATGAACAACAGCATGTGGAAAATCTGAAGTTGTCATCCAAAAGCATAGATAAACGAAGTGATACAAGGATCAACCATCATTCTATTTTCTTGTGAAAGTCGCCCACATGGTTAATTGTAAAAGGAAAACAAAAGCACAACTTAATGAGAAAGAGAACAAAATGAACATGTGCATATTAACAATAGCCTCATCAAGCTTATAAATAAGACCCGCAAAATACCATCTTTTATTAAAAAGGTAAAGTACGAATTTTCTTTGTCAAGGATTCATTCATGGTGATTAGATTCCTAGATACTAAGCATATCAACTAAAAAGTTCTCAATGGATTCGAACTGAGCACCAATCACAACTCTATTACAGCAGCAGCAGCAACAGCAGCAGCAAAAACAACAATGAGAAAGATTTTATCCAAAATTTTGGGACTTGGTCACCTACTTACATGAATCCTTTCTATCAAGTAAGCCGGACAATGGTCATCTTTTATGATCCATTGCACAAAGTTCCAATTATTAAGTTTATGTCAGTAACTAGCGACAAATGAAACTCTCATTTATCCACCATCCTCGAACTTTCATGATTTTTTGTAATTATCTTGAATGGTATCTCATTCATTTGTTAAAGGGGGTCTCTTGATTGTACATAATGTAGCAGTAAAACCACGATTATATAGGACTATTAATTGGAAGAGTAAAAGGGTCATTCAGTATTCTCATATTGAGACAATAGGAGAATATCATAACAAAGAGTTAGGTTAGATATTAACTAAGTGCAGTTAGGTAGCAAAGATAAACATGTGAATTTAGATATGTAGCATTCCCATTGAAGGTTATATTCATGTCTTAAAGTGAGTTTATCTTCTCCAAAAATTTGTCCAAACTAAATTGCCAAATGTAGCATGTATGTCAAGAGGAAACCATGACAGCACATAATGCCAAAGAAACAGATCATGAAAAAAGTTCATGCAGTTTGAAGACTTTGAAATAACAAGTGCCCTACATCAATTTAGTACCTACCTATAATGCTTCCCTGAAGTACATAGCAACCCACATTGCCAAAAGTCACATAATAAAGCAAATCAAGCGAGAGATCTAACCTTGTATAAGCCACAGGTATCCACTTCCAATAATGGGGGGTGTCTCCCCATACAATGGAAAGCTCCCTAGCTGAAATCATATAACACTTTGCTCCGCTTGATCTCTCCAATTGAAAACTCTATCATCACCACATTCATCAACAAAAAAATTAACTTGGGAATTAACTTGGGAATGCACCTGATCACATTTTTCTTATAAGACTACACTGAGAAAACCTTGAATAAACAAATTGCAAATCATTTTATGCCAAGGGAGGTAATCTTGATTTGCTACCAAGCTTGAGTTCTCATGGGCAATATCTTGTGACTAGCTAATAACCCTTAACTTGTTTCTTGATATAGCTGAAAATTGAGTTGTCATAGAAAATATATTCGTAGTAGCAAATAAAGATTTCCTCTACGGACATCTTCACCTATGCAACAAAACTTTTCTTTTTCCAAAAACCAATTTCTTTCAACAAAAAATGACTAATAAGCTCTCAAATACTTCATGCATCTTCAATTTAATAAATTAAAATTAATTTTTCTTCTCGTATTTTTCTCTGGCAGTAAGAAAAACTCACTTTCAGATTCCATTTGTCATTATACTCTTTGTGTTGCTTGTTTCGAGAAAAACTCAGTGTTATCAATGCATCAGGCGCAAAGTCCCTTTACACGCACATGAGTAAGGAGCAATGTGATGCGCGAACTTGAGTGAAGCGAGGCTCACACCATGCACATAAATTTTCAAGATAGAAAATCAAGCACGAAAGGACATGTTTATGGAAATTTCATGTAAAAAACATGTCAAGGTAAATAATATTTACTACCAAATCACAAAATAAATTCTTAATTCATAATGCTAAACACCTGACAGAGAAAAGAAGTTCAATTTTTTTCCAAATTAATTGTCAAATCAAGACTAATATTGAAGCAAAATCAACTACTAAACGAGGACGAGTGAGGGTCCTCAATCAGGCTACTAAAAAGGCCTAATTGATTTGTTTTCTTTTTCGGGATACGGATTACCGCGCATAAGGACAAAAATATACGAGGCTAAGTCTTGCATGCACCCTATGCAAAGTGTCCTCATGCAGGGCACCGCAAGGCGCAAAAAGGCGCTACCAGGGGCGCCGCTGAGGCGGAACATCCGGTTCCGCAGAACAGGGCCCCCAACTTGGTGGGCCCCCCAAATCGCGCAGCCGCCCCTTCGTTGTCCCAGCCGCCCCCAAATCGCGCAAAAAAAAGATCAAGCCATCGTCAGCGGCAGAGCTTCTAATCTTCCCCCTCCCTTTGGTTCTTTTCCCTGGCACGATCCTCCCTCTTCAGATCTTCGAGTTTCGCTACCGAATCAGGATGCACACCCTCCACCACTCCGACCTCCACTTCGACATCCTCTTCTCATCTTCGGAATCCTCCTTCGTTGTCGCCGTCGGCCGCGTCGCCGAGATTGTGAAGAACGAGAAGCTCACCGACGACCGCTTCTTCCTCATCGCCAAGGGGCAGGAGCGCTTCCGCATCAACAAGACCCCAGCCCCTTGGTCTTCTCACCTCTCTGTGACTCTGACCTCTCAAGGTAACCTTCTATGCCTACCATGTGTTTGATGAATTGCCTTGGTTTTGTATGTCTTTCATTTTCTTGCATGTCTTTCATTTTCCTTAGTAAAAAGTTACCTCTTTTGATAGCAGTTTTGTAAAACTTTGTGATAAGTTTCACTACCAGAAAACATGACTAAATACTTTTTGATTGTTGATTTGCTGAGTTCACTAGGATGTGACTTTGTGGGCATATAAAAAAAAGTAGAATTGGTTGGCTGAGGGGGAAAACCTAATTTGTGAAGAGTTTAGAAAATAGCAATGCTAATTTGGTGAAAGTAAATAACTTAATGGATGAAATTTTTATGTATTTTCCTTTGTAATTATTATGTTTTTTTTATAATTTGTGATGGCTGAAAGATTACCTTGTGGCTGAAAGATTACCTTAATGGATGAAAGATTTTGTTTCCAACTGTGTGGTGCTGAAAGATTACCTTGTGGCTGAAAGATTACCTTAATGGATGAAAGATTTTGTTTCCAACTGTGTGGTCGATTAGGTCATTGAGGGAAACGTCGAAGAGTGATGGGAAGGCAGCTAAAAATCTCAGTAAGCTTATCGGACATGTCAAGATTATTAGTAAGATGTTGATTTTGTGTATCTTTTTTTTACTATCAATATTTTGCATGTAATATGTTTTGCATAGAACCATTGCTATGTCTTAATGTTTATTTTAATTCTAGATATAAAAAATTCTTTCTATGGTTAGTACTACGTATAAAAACAATTATTAGTTTCTTCTGAAGATTGATTAAGAGGTCCCGATTAAAATTTAGAACCGGGCCCCCAAATTGTCAGCCACGCCTCTGGGCGCTACCCATCCAATGTGGCATCAATGCGCATTAAGCACAATAAGTCGCACGCCCTTCTATATAAACTAAAAAAAATTGCTTGAATTATTTCCAAATTCTATCCTTAACTGATCAATACGAGCTCATTACCTTCATTGTCAAAGGATCATAGAATCCAGACAAAAAAGAATTAAAAATTTAAACATTAATTTTATAGAAGTTTCTAAAAGGATCACAATAAACAAAACCCCTAAAATTGAGCACAAAAAACTCACCATCTTACCGCCATCAATCAAGACCGGATCACAAAGCCTGAAGTAAAGCTCCCTCTTCGACGAGTACTCCACCACGCCGCCGACACCGCCGCCGACCTGCACGAATCACGAGGCGAAGTCAGGGACAGCACGTGCGATATGCACGCCTCGGGGAGACTGTTGAAGCCGTCGCCGCCTTCCATCGTCGATGGTACAACTAAAAATGTCCGCCTTTTTCACTCTTCGCTGTCATTTGATGAAGTGAGAATAAAGGAGAAGAAGATTTATTAGGGGTTGTTTGGATTGAGGGGAACAAGGATGCAGGGAAGTTAGGGAATCATTCACCTTGTTTGGGAGCATTTAGGCTCTGTTTGGCAAAAACTAGCTGAAAGCTACGAGATTATAGCTGAAAGCTGTTAAACTAGCTGAAAACTGTGAAATTGTAGCTGAAAGCTTATAGCTGTGTAGCTAGCTGATTAAAGTAGAGCTGTTTGGCAAAAGTAGCTGTATAACTAGCTTAAATTTGTAAATGACTAAAAAGGACATGCAATATTATTGATATAAAATTAGAATTACTCAACACTCATTTATTTATTTATTTACTAGTTAGATTGCACATGCAATGCACGTGATAAAAACAATAACCATCATCACATAATAAGGGAAAACATTATGAAAAATACACAAACATTGAGAGGTCAATTGAAAGAAAACAGTAAATACGACATCTAATACTGTAGGCAATTATCACATTGACTCCCATAATAAGCGAGCAATGTTATCACGAACTTCCCTCATTTCAGAAGTTGTCCCTCTTGAAGAATTACTATTCTCATCAGGATCCTCGAGTTCATCTTGAGTTTCATCTTCGGGTACATAATTTGGTTGCTGTTCTAACACTGTAAACAACGGATCATCGACTGAGTTAATGCGAATATAATTATGCAATGCAAATGCGGCCATAACAATATCAATTTGGGTCTTCACACTATACTGTGGCATTTGGTGAAGAATCTTCCATCTTTTCTTCAAGACTCCAAATGATCTCTCAATACAACTACGAAGAGATGAATGCGCACGATTAAAAGTTTCTTTAGCATTGGTTGGCGCCTCTCTTTGAAACTGCGATTGATGGTACCTTATTTTGGGATACGGTACTAAATATCCCAGTCTATCCGGATATCCTTTATCAACCAAATAATATCGACCTATATTAAAATTTAAGAAAAGTGAGATTAAATAAAGAAAATATTATGACTATAATATATCGAAGTAAATAAATTTAATCAAAAAACAAAAACAAACCTTGTCGAGGATAAGGAAAATTCATTGTTGGCGTGTTAATCGCATGAAGAAAAACACGTGTATCATGTGCTGATCCTTCCCACCCAACAGACAAAAATGTAAAACACATATCAAAGTCACACACAGCCATGACATTGAAAGTGGGGATGTCTTTTCTCCCTCTATAACGCAATTGATCAGCCTCGGGAATACATGCTGCCACATGAGTACCATCAATGCATCCAATACAATCCTATAATTTAAACTTCATCATTATAATAATGGTACGTATCAAAATTTACAAATTAAGTATCAATTACAATAATGTTTACCTTAAAATAAGGCATGTATCTTGTATCATTGGTGATTTGAGGTGGTATGAATTGAAAGTTTTGATCCTTTGGTTGTATAACATCGCGTGCAAGACCCATATAACCTTTATTTCTACCACAAATCGCTTCTAAAACTTGGGTAATGGTTCTACTAATAGTCTCACCAGAACGTTGAAATCGCTCACCAACATCTCTATTAGAGAGACCCAACGCAATAGTATAAACAAATATACCCACTTTTTCAACCACTGTCATGTTCCTACTAGGTGTTAATCCATATTTGGATTGTAACTCTTCACATAGTAGCAAAAATACTCTTGATTCCATTCTAAAGGCATTCACACATCGAATAGGATGTCCATTTAGAATTTCTCTCATCCAATCTTCCCCTCTTTGATGTGAAGTCATGCATGGTTCTTTGTAAATGTATTTGTAGTAATATGTAGCTATAGCACTTGTTGTACATGCAGTTATAAGCCAAAATATTCTCTGCTTTTTCTTCCTCCTTTTCTTCATATCCATAATACACCTAAACAATGATTAGTTTAAAAAAATGAAGATAAGTCTAAACAAGGTAAAATGCAAATTAAACACAACCACAAAGTTTAACAGTCCATACAACCATAAGATTAAGAATTCATGCAACCAAATTAAACACAACTTCAACACTTAATAAAACACAAACAACGGCTGAAATATCTAAAATTACCACACCTAATTAAACAAATAAATAATAGTTCAAACGTTTACTTGTCCTTCATATCATACATAAACTTTAACCAAGCCAACCTAGAAGCATCATCCTCCATAGAAAAGAAAAAATCCCTTCTCATAGCATCCTCAAGTAAATAAACAGCATAACACCACAAAGCACTACCATTTTCCAACCCATCCATATTTTTAAGAACATTCATCACCATTACAGCACAATTCACTGGTGTTTGAGTATTTGTCACACTATCAGGAGCACTAGCATCTGACTCAAGTGCTTGGACTGCACGACCACAAAATGCAACCATGTTTTCAAGATGATGGTTCATCATTGTTGATCCTGTAGATTGTCTCCTTTTACGCTTCATTGGCATAGAATTCACTGTTTTTGTGGCAGTTTTTTATGGTTCTTTAGAAGTCCTCCTATCACTAGTTGGTACTTGGGTAACACCTTGGCTTTGGTTAGGTTGTTGATTATCAGCATTAAGCACTTCATTTGAAAACTCATGCCAAAAAGTACCCTCACTTTTTTCTAGGTTTTCCAAGCGAGATGAGTATTGACTATATTTTGAGTAAACATGATCTTGAGAATCCTCATACTCACCAAGTACTCTTTCTTCACTATTGGTTTCCTCTTCTTCAACACCTGCTTGAACCCTCTCAACATTTCCAGATTGTACATCATTCACAACCACACTTGAAGGATTCATGCCGGGAGTAACGCATTCTAACCCGTTAGCTACTACATCCGAGTATAGCTGATCCCATAGCTCTTCAATGGCGCATGGTACCCCTTTGTTACGAAATTTTTTAGCTTCAGGTTTTTCCTACACAATATCATAAAATATTAAATCAAACAAAATATTAACTTTTCTTTAATTTACCAATTATGACTATGTGAGAAAACAACTAACCTTGATTTTTATCTCCCACCACTCATTGGAACAATCAAGCTTTCCAGTTATGTAATCCCAACCTAGGCCAGTTTCAGATTGCTTCAAACCTTTCCAAATTCTCCAATCTCTCTTCATTTGATCATACTTGTTTTTTAAACTTCTATAATTCATGAGTGGAGATGAATTCTGTATTAGCGAACAATGACATAAGACAATCAAAGCTAGCATATTAGCATAATACAAATATTATTACTTTACTGTAATGTCATTTACACAAGAAATTGTCTCCCATAGCACTACAATGTCTACAATTAGCTTGATATAATTTTATTTTCACAAAAGATCAACTCGCCTAGTGCAAGACACTGGATGGATATGATATTACTATGCTACATGAATTAGGACCATGCACGTATTATAAAATTTTCCCTTAATTTTGTTGGTATTTTTCTTGCCTGCATAATACTACGGAAGCCTTCTTCCTTATAATTCTGCTGGTGTACTGCTTTCAGAAACCCATGTACTTGCAAACTATGTAAACATGGACAATACTCTATGAACAATTCTATTTTCATAGAACAAAATTACTGCAACGTGTTCAGTGCCTGAAATCACACATTGACTCCAATTAACACAAGAATTTATGAAGCAAGATGATTTATACTAGAAGATAAATCAAAGTTATAATTTTGTGCATCATTGTTATAAATTTTCTCAGGTTAAGGCGGATCATAGTATTTTATTACATTAGTAAGGTTTCTATTAATTAGTATTTCCTGGGAATTGGCTAATGATAGACATGGCTAGATCTAGAAACAACGATAATACAGAAAATTAAAGTACCAACCAAATCCAAATCGCATGCTATCATCCCCACAACAATCAAACATCAAAGGAACAGAACCCTAACCTAATGAACAAAAACAAATCGAAAAATAGATCGAGAAGGAAACTCAGAATCAGTAAATTAGTTGAATTTGAGCAGGGAGCAAGAATCCAAACCCTTCTTCTCCTAGGCGGATCAAAGAGCGAAATAGAGAAGAAGAATCGACGGCAGAAGGTTTTTCACGCTGGAAAAGAAAGAGGGTTTTTTTTTGGGTTCGGTTGGCCTATTTAAAGGGGCAAAAACGGAAGAATTATAATTGACAGCTTCTTCCCAATCCCAAACGCTACTTGAGATAGTTTTTCAAAAGCTACTTGCAAAAGCCACAATCTCTTAGATAAGCCCCTCTTATTTTTGGTCACCAAACAGCTCTACTAGCTTATTGACCAACTCAATAAGCCACAAGCTCTTAGATAAGCCACTTTTTTTGGTTGCCAAACAGGGCCTTAGGAGATGAAGTTACTCAACCTAGGGAACTCTCTTCCCTTCCCTTCCCTTCTCTCACGAGTCTCATCTAGTTTCCCTTAACTTCCCTTAACCCCATTGAAATCCAAACACACCTTTAGGGCTTGTTTGGATTGAGGGAAATAAGGGTGAACGGAAACTAGGGGAACCATTCATCTTGTTTGGGAAACATTTAGGAGGTGAAGTTATTCACCCTAGTTCCCCTTGGTTCATCCCCTAATAGTATAAAATTTGTTACCCAAAATTAGGGTGTAACCAAGGGGAAAGGAACTCCCTTCTCTTCCCTTCCATTCTCTCACCTAGTTTTCCTTAACTTCCCTTAACCCCATTGAAATCCAAACACACTCAGTGATCACGTCCACTTTTCACAGATTGCTCCACTTTAAAATATTTATTCACAGAGGAAGCCCCAGTTACGTTCCTTTTACAGATTGCTCCACTTTCAAATACTTATTCACAGATTAAGCCCCAATCAAGTCACGTAGGGAAATAAATTCTGGAACTACGAGGAAAATCGTGTAGCGTGAAGGTAACAGAGGTAGAGAATGACAATTGTTGTATTATTAGAATTAGTGTGCACCTTGTGCAATGCACGACCCCTATTTTTTTAGCACTGTATTTTAAATTTGTCTCCCTCTAAGTTTTAATATATTTAATTTAATTAAAATTAGAAATTATATCTACTCCTCTATAATTAAAAAGAAGGATCCAAGTTTTAACACATTTGATTTAGAAATTATATCTACTCCTCTATACTTAAAAAATGATCCAAGTTTTAATACATTTAATTTGCTTTACTATTTATGATACAGTAAAATACTATAGCATGAATAGTAACTTCAAGTATGGGAAACAAATTTGATTTACTGTTTATGCTATAATAAATTGCTGCAATATGAATAGTAATTTCGAGTGCACAACACCAGATTCGGTTTACTGTTCATTATATAGTGTTTACTGTAGCATGAACAGTAACTCTTTGGATTCTCCTTTAAGTATAGAGGCGTAGATTACCAAGTCTAGTAAGCCATTAAGAGTTGGCCCCATGTCATACTAACGGGCTGATTCTTACAATCTGAAATTTTGACTTGAGTGCGAGCACCGCTGGGATCCCTGGCAGTCCGAGTCTGAGATGAAAGACGTCTTCAAACTGAGATCTGATAAAGAAATCTGAATCTAAAACAAAATCGTTTTCTTATCAGACTCCACTAGTGAATGTCTCGAATGACGAAATGACTGATTAGCTTCATCAATGCCACTCACATTTAATGCATGGCCAGTTGGCATCCATACTTCGTCGCCTAGTCGACATCGCTACAAACGCATAGCCACTCATAGTGACTCTTCGGGCCGAAGTCATAATGACTCCTCAGACGACGCATGCACTTCCGCCATTCTGCCATTATCGCCTCACTTAGTCGACCTGCCAAATGCGTGCCAGGTGGAGTCTGATCGACCGCGACACCACCGAGCGGGTCGAATTACCAATGTGCCCCCCCACGCAACCCACCCACCCACCCTGAATTATCTATAAATGGTGGATAACTCTATTACACCAAAGTAGGCTAGACGAAACCCTAAACTAGATTCTGCATTCTAATAATTTGCATAATTTGCTTATCTATCATTGACTTGAACGTCAGAGGGGAATGCTAAGGGAAATCTCATCCAGCCCTCTAACGAGTGTTATCTTTCAGGGATCTACTTTTCATTAGATTAATCAGTCATCAGAAAAGATTAATGGACCCTAAACTCCTTCAAATATCCTCCCACTTATAAAATTTACTTTCTAACATAAGCATTGTTGGAAGGAGAAGTTCTTCTTCATCTTCGATGTCTACCCCATTTTGGTTTGTTCTCCATGGCCAGAGATCAAGAAGGAGGATTTGAAGGCGGTGAAGCTCCCCAAAGTGGAGAAGCAAGGGCTGGAAAAGATCCGAGCATACGAAGGGCCCTATCGATGCGAGAACCTCTTTAATAATGTTGTGCTCTAAGTTTGCTGGCATATTTCATATTCTGGACACAGAGGAGGATGTTGCTCGAACTGCACTTTTGGCTCTTGAAGTGCAATCAGAAGAGGTTCCTCGTGCAGGCTCCTCTAAGGCACCTCAAAAGCAACTGAATGCCAAGCTGGCAACGGAGGAGGTCCAGGCTCTACGTCATGACCTGACTGATTTTGTGGCCCGACTTGGTCTAGGTTTGACTACGTCCACTGCCCAGGCCGAGAGGTCGGAGAAGAAGAAGACGAAGAAGGCTGTCTCCAAGGGATGTCACCAACTTGAGAGCAGTATGCAGGACTTGTTCATGCTCGAGGACATTCAAGACCAGCCGAAAACTGCCGACTGACTGGACATAAAAGTTCCCCTTGCCTCGACCAGCCTTCGCACACAACAAGTGGCCCAGGATTCCTAACGTCCGCTCGTCGTTCACCTGGTGATAGATGACGAGGAAGGCGACCTAAAAATCCACTGAGTTGGGCTTCAATTGCACCGACAATATTCCGAGCACTCAAACACCCGCTAAAGAGAAGGATGTAGTTGCAGGTGAAGGCCAAACTAGACATGGTGCCAATACATCAGCACCAAGTTACCCCCTGTGGTGCTAGATCGCACGGTCAGACAGCAGAACAAATAGCATAAAAGTTCTAGGGATGTCATACGCCTTTGCCATTGTAACGAAAACCTAGAGTACTGACAATTTAAACTGGCAGATCAACGAGATTCAATCCTCGTTACGGGCCATAGAAGGTTGCGTACTAAAGGCCATCAGAGCAAAGTGATCGAAGTCAATGATAGGAGCAAGATTCGAAGTTCTAAAAGATGGAAGCTTGGAAATTTCTAGGGTTAGGGTTTTAGCAAGTGCATTGAGGAAGAAGGGAAAGGAGGTATTTATAGGTGCTAGATAGGCGACATACGGCCAAATCCTAGTGGTCAACTCAAATCCCTAAAAATTGCTGGAGACAAAAGACGTCTTCAAGCTAGTATCTGTTAAAGAAAACCGAGTACAAGATGAAAGGCATCTTCTGGTCGAACTCCATTAGAGAATGTCTCAAATGACGGAATGATCTATCAGCTTCATCAACACCACTCGCATTTATGTCACTGTCATATTAAATGCAAGATGATCTATCATCTTCGGCGCGCATACTTCGCCGTCCAGTCGCCATCACATTAAATGCATGGCCAGAGTCATAATGACTTCTTAGTCAACCCTCACACTCCCGACATTATGTCACTGTCATATTAAATGCAAAACTGACTCACTTAACCGACCGTCAATGCATGTAGAGTGGAGTCTGGTCGACCGACTCCGCTGATCGGGTCGAATTACCAATGTGCCCCCTCCCCCTAACGAATTCTCTATAAAAAGATTGATAGTCTCACTGCACCAAGGTAGGCTGGATGAAACCCTGCACTAGATTCTGCATGCTGATAATTTGGTTATCTATCACTGATCTGAACGTCAGAGGGCACGCCGAGAGAAATCTCCTCCGGCCCTTTAACGAGTGCTATCAGTGCAAAGATTTGCTTCATTTAGATTAATCAGTCATCAAAGAAGATTAAGGGACCATAAACTCCCCCAAATATCCTCTTACTTATATAACTAACTTTCTGACATGAACAACAATATAATTAGAATATTGTACCAATACAATTAGAACATTATCAATGCATTATCCCATTTAAGAATCTTTGTAGATTTTTGTTTTTGAGAGAAGTTTCAAGAAATTCAGAACATTTTGAGAGAAGTAGGAATTTGGAGCTCAGAGTGCGGACTTCACTGAACCTGGAATTTGGAGCTCAGAGTGCGGACTTCACTGAACCTGTTTATTAAATTCAGCCCAAAGGAGAGACATAGCGGAAAGAACTTAAGAGCATCTCCAACAGTTTCCCAAAAATTTTCTTCAAAATGGGGAAGCAAAAGTCATATTCTCCAAATTATTTTTGCTTCAACTCCAACAGTTTCCCCATTTTAAAGAATCTTGCATTTATTACAATAATAAAAATATTCTACAGCCCTATTTTGGGATGCTCTTATGCATTGGAATTGCCCCCATGATATTTTTGTAATTATAGATTTTATTTTTATATTTATTTTCTCCTCCATCACGTTTTGAAGAACGTGTTATATTTATGACAAAGCTTTCCCCAAATATTAGAAGAATGCCCCAGATTTGGAGAAGACTCTTATTTTTTTCTTCTCCATCCCTATTTTGGGGAATGAAATGGGGAATCTATTGGACCAAAAAAAGCCCAAAATTCTCTAAAAGTGAGAATACCAATAAAATGGGGAAGCTGTTGGAGATGCTCTAAGAAGCAACCTACTCCGTTGTGGACAGTATCGTTAAGCTTGCACATGGGCTTCCACCTGCCATCTTATGGACATAGCCCATTACAGTTGACCGCATCATCAGCCAAATTTTCAATACTTTCAGCACATGGTTGTTTACATAATGCACATAATCACTCTCCCAACTCCAAAAAACAGACCTGTACCGATAAATATCCAGATAAATATCGATTACTGAAATCTATAACCGACCGGTAAAATATGCTTATGGATATGGTTGTGTAGCGAAATATCCATATTAGTATCCAAAATACCCAAATATATATATATTGATCATACTGTTGCGATAATTTTAATCCTTAGGTTAATGGATTTGAGGTTAATTTTGATAATCAAGATATCTAATCTTAGTTTTTAAGATATAACGAATATACTAGTGAACTCTCTTGCATGATATGAACTATATATTTTCTTCAATATTATCTAACTTTCTTATATTCTTTTCTATTCACACGTACATAATTCTTATATATCCACATGCAAATCCATATCTATATTAATATCCATAATTGTTAAGTGCATACAAATATAATAAGGATCATATCCTGTTAGTAGGGTTGACCACATCAACCAAATACTCATGTGGGAATGGGTGATAATGGGTCATTAGTGGAGAATTAATGGGCTTATTATGTAAATTAAATTAGGACAGTAAATAATATTAATTTGTAGTTAATGGAATTTATTTTAGATGTTATTTTTGGGGGTACAGATGTAGGGGCGAATAGCCTATAAATGGAGTGCTTTCTTTGTGAAGTTACGCAGCAATTCAGAATACAAACTCCTTACAATTAATGAAAAGAACAAGGAGCCCATCTTCTCTCCTTAGGTGTAATATATCCGTCCCTTACTGTATGCACTTCTACCTGTACCATATATTCAGTTGCACATTCATATCCAAGTCTCAGCACTACAAAAACCAACATACAACCAAACAAACAACCGCACCAAATCATTTTAAAAAAGAAAAATGCGAACTTACGAACTACCAGTAACTCAAAGTATGCATTAAACCCCCCAAAACAAAAAAAGTTGCAACCTTTAAAAGCTTCAAGGCTTCAAACTTCACCAGCTTAAACTTCGAACCGAGTGTACTGCTTTATCTGCAGCTGCTCCACCTGCATCCGTACCCAAACCTCCCTCCTGAACTTAATTAACCCATTTACGAGTTTACAGAGGATGATGAAGTATCCAACTTTCTACGGTACAGCAAAGGATGAAACATGTGCAATATCTTACAAACCTTAAACTGATCGAGCGCAACTGAACTCCTATAAACTTGAACGTCAAATTAACCAATGTGATAACAAAATCTATACACACAAAAAACAACAAAATTAACAATCCAAATCAAAAACCCAAACAACTGCTTCTACCAAAAAGCAAACCCCAAACAATTAAAACTATTAATCAAGCTATATTCAAACAAATATTTACATTCCAACACAGCCATGCATTATGTCACCACCACATGCAGCTCTAAAAACAAACCTGAGCACAACTGGGGGAAGAAAAAAAACCCAAAGTACCCACAACAACTAAAAAAGTCAAAAAAGAGACCCCTTAAAGAAGGAACTTTATTTATTTTATTTATTACTTTTTAGTAGTCAAGAAACCTGAGAGGGTTTAAGTATCTCAGACTCCGCAGGCACAGCCACGTTGTTAACATTTTGACTGATACGTGGCCGCCGTTCCCGTATAGTAAACCTGCCTGCCGACGCTATCATACGCCGCAAAACCCGCGCCGCAGTTATCGTACGCCCCCATCCCAAAGTTTGCCGCAGCAGGGTACGCCGCAGTCGGGCTATTGCACGCCGGGGGCACCACCCTCTGCAAGGTAGTATAATTCGCCGGAAAAACTCCTTGACTCATCGGAACCAGATAAAATTTCCCGTCCTCGCAAACAATCGACGCCAATCGAGGATTTTGCCAGCACGCTTGAGCCGGTTCCGGTACCGGAGCAGGTGGTGACTTCCCTTGGACCGGAGGACAAGCCCTAGCTAGGGTTTCGCCTTGCTGTTTCTCGCCGATCTGAACCCTCTGAAGCTCCGGCGCCGGCTCCCCCACCTCTTTCTCCGGCGGCGCGTCCAAACCGAAAAGATAATCCGGCGCCTCCCTCGGCGTCACCGCCGGCGACGGATCCTGATTTTTCTTCCTGATTGAACCGAAGAGGAACAGTCTCAGCCACGGGATCCGCTTCGATTCGATCCTCTGAAGCCGATCGTACTCCATCATCATGTGATCGAGGTCGCCATCGTTAGTAACCGAGATCAAAGAATCAAGATCCTCACCGGGGAACTGATACTTCAGGATGAAGTCATCGTAGCCGGAGATCGCCGACAGCTTTCCGATGATCGCCGGAAACCTGATCGATCTGTCTACGGAGAGAATCTTGGTCTCGCCGACGACGTAGGCTAGTTTGATTTCGATTTCGTTGGATCGGGGCTGGATTTTGCCGCCAAAGCTGCACATGAGCTTGACGCGGGCGGCAGCAGGCGGTAGATCGTCCAAGGCGGAGACGGCGATGGAGGGTGAAGAGAGAGGGGAGGAGGCGTCGGAGTTTGTGTACGAAGAGCAGGCGTAGTTCTCCATGAAAATTAGGGTTAGGGTTTTTTTCTGATCGATTTTGTTGGAGGAGATGATGAATACGGATAACCGTGAGAAAATGCGAAAAATTTATACACGAAGGCTGTGGGGCCAGGGTATATAACTGATCGGTGCCTTTCTCATCTTAACCGTTCAAATTGACAAGTGTTTTGAATCTAAAGATGAGTGGGACTGAGAAGTGCCACGTGGACTGTAGTAGAGTCGGAGCTTTTGCCGGGTGGATCGGGAGCAAGTGGGATCAACTGTGCAAGGTTCGGGAGGCTGTTTGCCCTTTCAAATAAACGAAATTACAAAACATAAGAAGTAAGACTTTACGTTTGCAGTTTAAAATTGTAACCGCATTGACTTTTTCTATTGCTTGTGTTAATTAATTTTCTTATATTGATAATTTGGTATCAATCTACTAGTCAATCTAGATTTGGTATTCTAATATGTTTACTAAAGTCCGCGCGCACTACAACAATTAGGAAGAGGATTGACTTGGGGGTTGTTTGTTTCACCCAAGTTTAAGGTTAGGAAGAGGATTCCCATCTGATAGGGATATTTTTATAAATAAACTTTTTTGGTGGTATTCTATTACTATGTTTGGTTAACAAAAGTTTTGTAGATAAGGGTTTCTATAAAGTTAAAAAAGATGGGGTTTTTGTAAAAGCCCAAAATTGTTGTGTTTTGGACGGAATTGGTGTAAAAGACTGACAGTGGCATATATTTGACAATAAAATAGGGGAGCTCGTTCTGGTTCATCCCTTTTTATGGATTCCGTCGTCGTGAAACCCTATAATCCTCCTCCCTCCAATACTTTCACCTTCTCCTGCTAACTTCATCCCGCCTCTACTCTTTGATGTTCGTGCCTTACCCACCCCCTCCTATTTTCGACAAGATCTGATGATTTCCCTCTTCGAAATCGCAGAAGCATCACTCGATCTTTGATTTTGAGCTTCGATTTTGAGCTTCGTCGGTCGTTCTTTGATCTCCTTAATTGCAGACGTGCCTTTGCAATCCGAGGTATAATTCAACAATCCATTTTTTTCAATTTAGATGTGATCATGGATGTTGCTTGTTCTTTACATGATGTTGTGTGAAACTATTAGAAGAATTTCTAAGATGTGCAGCTAATCTGTTAGTAAATTGTGAGTTGGTGCCAGTTTGGTGAAATGCTTGGGGTTTTTCTGATACACCCCAAATTCGTGAAAGTTAACAAATTTTTTGATAGCAAGACTTAGGGTGTGTTTGATAAGTTTGAAAATAATGTAGACTAGATTTGAACTAGCAGCCATAATAAATTTGATGACTTGTTTTGAAAAAATAAATTTGTTGAATTTTTGGCTAGTTTATGTTGATTTTGTAGCTTCAAGTGGATAGCTAAACTAACTAATTTATGAAAACAAATTCCTGATGGAAAACTGTTCGAAATTTCTGAATTGAAATTCTAAAAATAGTCACCTTCTGTTCTGTTGAAATTCTTTATAAATTGTGATGTGATCACAAGCTTTACATGAATGAAATTTTGAAATGCATGTTGCTAATGATATCTAGATTTTTCATGTATATTGTAAATGTGATGAAATTACAATTGTTTGATTGTAGATATTTAATAATAGCTTTAAGATTTCAACATGTATATAAGTTATTTAATTATATATGTCTTAAATAAGTGGAAATTTTAACTTCTTACCTAATATTAATTTTACAATGAATGTAGATGGCTAATGTAGAGGAAGAGCAATTAAAAAGGATGTGTTCTAATATAACTATTTCTTCTACGGTAACGATAATAACTTGTCTTTAATTTTAAGAATGTGTGCTAAGTGCAAGACAATGTCTAGTTGGCCAAGGGAAGAAAAGATGAAAAAAAAATATTGTAGAGATGCTCACTTCAAATGTGAATTGGAAGGTTATGGTGATAGTTGTCGGACTTATATTAGAATGAGACCAAGGGCCTTTTTTAAACGTATAGAAATACTGAGACAGAATGATTTATTAAAGGATATAAGACATGTGCAAGTCGAAGAACAGCTCGCTATATTCCTAAGTACAGTGGGTTATAAAACTAAAAATAGAGTAATAAAGACTGAGCTAATAAGATCGGGAGAAATGGTTAGTAGGTATTTCAATAAAGACCTACGAGTAATGAATGAGTTACGTGATCGCTACATGAAGTAATCTCCTAATGAAGTTCCCCTAGAGATTGTATACAATCCAAACTATTTTCCTTACTTCAATGTAAAAACAATTTCTCCACCTTAAAATATCAATTAAATAATTAAATATATTATTGAATATTTTATAATGTATAATTTTTATAGGATTGCATTGTTATGATAGATGACACACACATTGACACACTATTATCCAGTAACCTAGTTGCACGGTTTAGAGGACTTAAATGTGTGGCACAAAACAGAGGACGCAAATGTGTGGCACAAAATATATTAGCAGACTACACCTCTAATAAACTATTCACATATGTACTAGCTGGGTGGGAGGGAGGGAGCAGCAAAGGACTATAGGATATTACAAGACGCTTTTTCGAGACCCCAGCCTTACGGACCGAGAGTTTAAAATGGTATTATTACATCTATTTATATTTTGAATAATGAATTAAATACTTGTCAATAATTGAGATCTTAAGATACTGTTGTATTTAATGTAGGTAAATATTACATATATGACGCTGGATACACCATCATGCCCAGCTTTATATCCCCATATTATGGTGTACAATATCATTTAAAAGAACACACTGGTAGGACAGCTAGATACACCACCATGCCTAGTTTCATACCCCCGTATTGTGGTGTATGATATCATTTAAAAGAACAAACTAGTAGGACACCAAAGAATAGAAAAGAGTTATTCATTCTAAGGCACTCATCTCTACTATAAAAAATTTAATGCACATTTGGTATATTGAAGAACCGGTTTAAAATTCTCTAGGGAAAGCCTAATTATCTATTTCCCACTCAAGTGGACATTCTATTAGGGTGTACTGTGTTGCATAATTTTGTTGCATTAGAAGATGTAGACGATGATATTTTACATGAGAATGTAGATATTGATGAAGATAATAGGGAAATGACAAATGAAGACGATTCAACTGTAGTGGACTATACTCAAACTAGGTCAAAAAGAGAGGATCGAGATACAAGAAATGAATGGAAGGAGCATAGAGATTAAATTGCCTGAGCAATGTGGGTAGATTATTGTGCAAAGTATAATGATGATAATACAATGGAAAGTGGCTTAAATTAATATGTTGTTTGTTGCTTATTGGTTTTTATTATTCTACTTATGTAATATAATATGACTTTTAATGTTTGCAACTCTTCATGGTGTTTGAGATTGTAATCAAAATTTTATGACTATCATATATTGTTTTTTTAAATTGTCTGAAAATTACATGCATATCATATATGGTGTTTTAAATTGTATTAAAAATGCATGAGTATCATTTACTATTCTTTTAGATTCCTTTACTAAGGATATATCCATGTTTACAATATATATAGGTATAGCTAAGAATGGGGCAGAAAAACAAAATGCTTCATCTCCTTCAAATGTAATGCCAAATACTTTAGCTGGTATTAACATGAACTTCTTGTCTTATCAACCTCAACATTTCACTTCAACTCCTTATACATTCTCACAATTCCCACCATATGATGAGAATTATAGTAGGATGACCTAGCGAACTGTTTCATACACGAGCATGTTAAACTGTCCACAAGGTTTGCTTTTACTCACATATAGTTCTCAAAGTAGTGGTCCTCATCATTTTCACCAACCACTGGTGATTCTGATGGGAAAGAAATTCATGAAATTGATGGTGGGGAGCAGACTTCACCTATAAAAAAGGAAAGAAATAGGCACATAAGAAAAAGGTCGCAGTGCAAGGTTGAACTCAATGGATGTGTCTAACAAGTTTTGCCTTCCGGAGCATGATGATGTGCTTATATCTTTTCTTGCAGAATTAGCATTAGATGGATTTAATTCCAGATAAGAACTTCAAGGAAAAAGCTTATAAAGTTACAGTCATGAAAATAAATTAACATGCAATTCATGTTTGATTGCACTCATGTTCATGTGATTAATCACTTGAAATGCTTAAAAAATAAGTTCAACGACATGAAGGTTCGCCTTGACATAAGTGGTGCTGGGTGGGATGACAAAACTAAAAATATTACCCCAGATGATGAGACATTGAAAACATGGTCTCATGTATATTTACTTTCAGAATCAATAATGTCAATAGTAATTTATACATTTGGTGCACATATTTGTATGTACTCCTATAAGTCTTGTGATCATTTGTTCCTGCAGGATAAAAATAATTTTAAGCTCAAAGCATTCATAAACAAGCATCTTCCTCACTTCGAGAATTTACAAGTGATCACATGTGATGACCAAGCTAGTGGTGAGTTTACTAGGCTTGTGTACAAGAACACTGTTTCTAGTAGGTCCATACTTGATGATGATAGTGTAATTCCAAACGATAGTGAAATTGAACCTCAACCTTATGCTAACAATCAAACAGAACCCACTACCAATAAATCTAAAAGTAAAAACAACTTGAAGCCATCCTCAAACAAAAAACCTAGAAAAGCGAGTCATGATGATTAATTGATATGTTCTTTTGTTGAGTCAATGTCTCAGTCAATTAGAAATCAACACATAATTTATTAGATTGAGCAGTTGAATGCAACTTTGAAGGATCATAGCAATGAATATTCTAATGAATTTCTCAATAATGTGTTAGATCATTTATATGACAATGAACGTGAGAGTAGAAGGTTTTAGTAAAAAACAAGGAAGCTCAGAAGAGGTACATGACCAACCTGATTAAGGATCAATGTTGGTCTATTAGCTAATTTCTTTGGTTTTGATCATATTTTGGTGGATAATTTTGTCTGTGCACAAGTATACATTGCTACCAACATATTCTTTTGATATTTGCGAACTTTATATGTTGCAATCTATGATGTCATGTAAACAAGCTTTTAATGCTCTTGACTTTAACTTATGATGACATGAATTGGTACTATT